CCCGTTTCCCAGCGGAAAACGACCTAATCACACAAGCCGACCCGCGTTCGATTCACCAGGGACGCATTCCCCCCCCCCCCCCCCCCCCGATTTTTTGCCCTCCTAAGCGCTGCCGTTTTTGCCGTTTTACCCCTCCTAAGCGCTGCCCTCCTAAACCCTAGAGGAGAACTGTCGTCTTCCTCTCCTCCCCCTCCATCCGCGTTCCAGCCTCTCCTCCTCGCCGCCCTCCAGCCTCTCCTCCTCCTCCCTCCACGTTCGACTCGCCCCCTCCAGCATCTCCTCCCCCTACATCCGCCACACCTCTCCTCCCTCCAGCCTCTCTTCCCCCTCCATCTTTGATCTTGTCATCTTCCTCTCCTCCGCCTCCATCCGCGTTCCAGCCTCTCCTCTCGCCGCCCTCCAGCCTCTCCTCCTCCTCCCTCCATGTTCGACTCGCCGCCCTCCAGCCTCTCCTCCCCCTCCATCCGCCACACCTCTCCTCCCTCCAGCCTCTCTTCCCCCTCCATCTTTGATCTTGGCGCTATCGGATGGGAGGGTACAGCAAATGATGCAAGAATTCTTACTGAAACAGTTTCCAACCCATCTAACAACTTTCCCATGCCACCGCGAGGTACGAAATGATTGTCTCTTTATTTTAGTAATTATAGTACACATTTCATTTGACTAATTGATTTTATATCTTATAGGTAAGTATTATGTTGTTGATTCTGGATATGCAAACATTCCTGGTTTCTAGCGCCATATAAGACAAAAGAAGCACGCCATTTTCAAGATATCGATCGTGGAGGTGGACCAAAGACTCGTAAATAACTTTTTAACTATTATCATTCATCTCTACGCAATGTTATCGAGCGTTGTTTTGGAGTTTTGAAGGCTAGATTCCCCATTTTGAAGCATATGCCTCCTTTCGCTCTCAAGAAACAAGGACACATTGTTCTTGCATGTTGTGTTATACATAACTTTATTAGGATCCACTCTGGTGACGACACTCTGTTTGAAGGTGCTCAAAATTATTGCACGGGGGAGAATGCCAATGGAGTGCAAGGAGGACAAGAACGAGAAGCATATAATCATAGTTCAAGCCAAACTCGAGCGATGGATGCACGACGAGATGTAATAGCAAACAAGTTGTGGGATGACTTTCAAGCTGGACTTATTTGAATTTTTATGTTGTACTAGTACTTAATTAATATAAGATGTTGTACTTGTATTGTGTTTATTTGTAGTTTAAAAACTATTTAATTCGAATTAAAAATTATAATCATGGCTAGGGTTGTATGATAATCAAGAATCAGAAAACAGAATGAAACAACTAAACAGGATTTCTTTTTAGAACTCAGTTTCAGAACTCACCAAAATTCTCAGCTAAACAAGGTTTTTTCAGATTTTGTTTTCCAGGAAATGGTCAGCTTCGTTTTCATTTTAATTTTGTTTTCTGTTGTGGCACCTAACAGAAATGGAATGGCAAGTAAACGACCCATTAGGGTACTTTTCAGTGTTGAATATCTATTAGGTATGCTACATATTCTGTTGTGTGCTTATTGATTTGACTGTTAATATCTTTCACTTCATGTATCAACGGTTACATTGTCAAATTTAGTTAGGGAACTCTTCAAATAATTTTATAGTTTGGCATCAAAGAAACTGGCCACCATATGAACATGTTGCTGCAAATTTAGTTACCACGGCGTAGCCGTGGGTATTGATTCTAGTACATATATATACACATACCTACGGTAGAGAGAGAAGCTGAAACTTTGCTTTTCATTGGGCCGCTGCGCATTGTATATATACATTCCATTATACTCATTCATTCTTGGAGGTGTTTGAATGGAAGGTAAAGGATGGTGAGAACCAATGCTCAATGCTAAGATGAGTAATACTAAGAATGTGTGTGAAGATGACTCTAAAGGCAGAAGAATGTGTATGAAGAAATGATAACTCTATAGGATAGAAGCATAGTATACCAAAATGACAGTGAAGCAGTAGTAATCGGTAACTAGTAAGTTCCTTTTGTTCAGCTGCTATTACTTCATACTACTAGTATGGATACTCAATGTTCATGGTTGTATCAATGTGTGCTGTATGCATCACCTTTCGTTCCTGTAGTCAGAGGTGGAAGCGGCAGAGAAGGACATCGAGACCACTGAAGGGGACGGCGAAGGGGTGGCAGAGTAAGGCGATGGTCGGAGATCCTCGATCAGCCGCACCACTTGCTCCATGGATGGTCTAGTCTCCGGCAACTTAGCCACACAAGATAACGCAATCTGAAGCATTTGAACCATCTCCTCCTCTACATTCTTGAACCTCGTCAAACCAGCATCAAACACCTCTGCCGTCCATTCCTCCCGCACCACAGACTGCACCCACCTCGGCAGATCAACCGCCTGCTCCGCTGCCTTTCCCGATCGTACCTCCACCGCTGCCGCCGCATCTTTCCCGGTAAGCATCTCTAGCAACAACACCCCAAAGCTGTACACGTCAGACTCCTGAGTACACTTCCTCATACTAATCACCTCAGGAGCCTGGTAGCCGTCGGAGCTCCTCGTTGGGAGAACTGGATAGCTCATCATGGCTGCCAATCCATAATCCGAGATGCATCCCTGGTGTTCTAATGTAATTAGCACATTTGACGACTTTATGTTGCCGTGGACCAGCTTGTCGCCATTGGCACCAGCAGTGGATGTGTGCGATCCCTCTAGCAGCTCCGAGGCAAATGTTCACTCTGGTTTCCCAGTCCACCTCATTTCCTCCAAACCCTTTGTTTCCTGCATCAAAAATTGATGGTCAGCTAGCTAATAAAGCCGTCGGAGCAATCAATTCATAAAGGGAATGAATGTGATTTTTCACATACCGTGCAAAAGGGAGGAAAAGTTGCCAAAGGGGAAGTAATTAAACACCAGAAGCTTCTCATCCCTGGAATAGTAATAGGCACGCAGAGGCAGAACATTCGGGTGATGGCTCATTTTCCCCACAATCTCCATTTGAAGCTCGAACTCTCTCTTCCCAACAACGAGTTCCTTCAGCCTCTTCACGACCACGGCCGTGCCGTCTTCCAAAACGGCCTTGTAGCTCGTTCCATACCTACCCTTCCCCAGAACTTCAGCAGAAGCTCTCAACAAATCCTCAAGATCATAACTTTGAGCATACCCATTGAAGAACACCAGCTTGTTCTTCTCTCCTTCCTGCACACCGCTCCCATAACCTTCATTTGGCTTCTCATCGCCTTTCCCTTTCGCCCTACCATTGACTCCTCCTACACCTTCTTCAGGCTTCCTTTGCTTCTTCTTCAAAAAGCACACCAACACAGCCATGGCTAGAAAGAATCCCCCCACCGAGCTGACAGCGATCGCGGCCACCGATCCTCCACTGAGCTTCTTCGATTTTGTGACGCCTTTTCTACGTTGAGGGACTGTAGGACGGGTTCGCGGCGGTAAATGAACAGGGGAAGGGGCAGGGGAAGGTGAAGGAGAAGGTGCGAGATTAGGACACTGTTTCTTAAGAGGTGGCCCACAGAGCTCATTGTTCCCTACGAAGGAAGAAGAAGGAAAGGTTTGGAGCGTTGAAGGAATCGAGCCGTTCAATTGATTGTAGCTAACATTCAGCTGTTGCAGCTGAGTGACATTGAGAGCAGAAGGTATATTCCCAGTGAGGCCATTGCTCTGCAGCTTCAGCCTAGTGAGTTGCGTGGAGTTTTGCAGTGTTTTCGGGATGTCGCCGGTGAGAGAATTGAAGGAGAGGTCGAGTGCCACGAGGTTGGGTGATAAGGAGGAAGGAATGGTCCCCGAGAAATTGTTGTGCTGAAGGTAAATGTGGCGGAGAGAAGGCAGAGAGAGCACGTCGGGAGGGAGATCGCCGGCGAGTTGGTTGGATCGGAGACTGAGGGTGATGAGGGCGTCCAAGTTGCCAATGGTGTTGGCGGGAAACGAACCGTAGAGGCCGACGGCAGGGAGGCGAACCGCGATTACTCGGGTTAAGGAGTCGACTCGGGCGCAAGTGATGCCGATCCATGAGTTGCAAGGGCTGCCATTGGACGTCCAATTGAGCCTGCGGGTGTGTGGAACTGATGTGCCGAAGTTGAGAAGTGCCTTTCTGTCTGATCGAAGGTCACCAGCGGTTGTGCGGGGGAGGGGAGATAGAAGACATAGGAAGAGGAGAGCTGTGAAGGCGAAGAGATGGGAAATTTTCTTCATGCTTCATATGAGTTGGTGGTGCTACTGTCAATTCAATTTTTTTTTTCCTTCCTTTCTTGTGCTATGAACCTGTGATTTGGCAAAGTGGGAAATAGGGTTTCAAGAAAGTTGATGACCAATAATAACAAATTATCAATAGATTGTTCCTCGTAAGAACCATTATGAGCTGCAATTTTCTATGACGGTGTACTTGAGAGCTCAAACATTCTCTGCATAGGAAAAAAACTGGACAGGAAAAGCAAGCAGCATACAAGAATTGATCAGCTCAAGGTAGGTCGAGTTAGAGATGGAATGGAATCGAACCCAATTCAGCAATGGCTAAGCAAAATCGTGGGTGGTTTCTTGATTGGTTAAAAGTTAAAACTAGAAGCAAGATTAGTCTTCCTCTTCTTGGAAGATCAGCCATAGCCATAAGAATAATAAAAGCAAAAACAGCATTCAGGCGATCGATCACTAGTTACAGCAATGGCAACCTGATTGTATAGTAGGAATCATCATAACACGAGCCATGTATATAAAACAGGGACAGAGAGAGCCGACCTGGAAATTGGAGAAGAAGTAGTACTAGTAGGAGAAGATTCGGCGGTTGGTATCTTGAGGGAGAAGCAGAGTGGACAGGCGGAATGTTTATAGCGACGAAATTGGTAGAGGAAAAGGAAAAGGGAGCGAGGGAGGGAGTTGGGAGTTGGGAGGAGAGGAAGAGGAGAGAGCAGTTAGGAAAGTGGGTGAAGCTACCCGACCGTTGCTCTTGAATCTTTAAAGCAAGCAAGCAGCCGAGAGAGCGAGATAGAGAAAGGAGGGAGTTCTGAACTTGTTGCTTTCAATTTGGCTGGTGGGATTAGCCGAGAAATTAATGGCCATTTTTTATTTATTTATTAATCATGGTTGGGAGGAAGGAAGCTTGACGTTGAAGCAAGAGGGGAACAAACGGAGATGAAGAAACGTAGATCTCGATGGCCATCTGCACTCTGTACTCTGCACCCCATTTCTTTTCTTCTTCGTCTTCCTCCTTTTTCATTTCTCTTTTTCACTAATCTGATAATTTATTTTTAATGGCGTTTTCTTGTAGGAACTAGTTCACCGGTGGTCACCAAAAATGGAAGAGCTGAAAGGCTGACGATAATGATGGTGTAAATTAGTAAGAAAAGGGAGAGTGTAAAACGTTTGTTTGTGTGTATGTTAGGGTTTAGGTGGTGGCTGATGTAAGACTAAGAAGGTGATCTGTTGTGAATTGTGATGGGATTTGCTGCCAAAATTCCAAACCACCCTCTCCAACTCACTCAGCTTGTCCTGATCTGCAGACCAAAAATGCAAGTTGAGATTAATAGGATAAAAAAGGCAAATGAGTTAGTTTAGCAAACATGGCCGATGGTGATCGAAATATTAATTAGATGAACCTAAGATTGTTATGCGATGATCGCATGGTCCAGATTGCCTAAAGGTCAAATGGGGTAAATGAATCCTTTGATACAGCTATTCTGCTGCGGATCCATGACATAGTAGAGCACTGAGCCGCATTAAAATAGAACATTACATAATGTAAACAAAAATATATAATATCTATAGTTTTTATTACAATACCAATTATACAAAAATGTCTTCTAATTTAGCAAATTCATCAATAATAGAATTTATTATTTCATCCATGCCAATAGTATACTCTATCTCCAAGAAAATAGCTAAGCAATCAACGAGAATGTCATCACTCATTTTGTTGCGCATATCGGTTTCCACATGTTTCATTGCTAAAAATGTTCTCTCCATAGTTGTCGTTCAAACTAGCAATGTCAACACTAGGCGAAGCAATCGACAAATCAATTATTATTGTGTGTCTGTCCTGGTTTCCGCCAGTTTCACTTATAATTTTTCAAGGGAAGAAAATTCATATTCCTGACTATGAATCACCTGAGCGGCATAATATCGTAGTTCATTCTTCATCAAAAGACTGGAAAGAACTGTTAGGATCTGGTCAACCACTCAACTGAAGCAATCTAAATGATGGCTTGGCAAATTTATAAATATTTTCTTAATTAATATATTGGATAGAAAACCATAGCATGACGGACTAGCGGAGGAGTCCGTTTTGAATTTGTTCGTCTACCCGTTTTTGTTTTGGGGGGTTAGGGGAATTTTTTTAGGTTTGACATGGAAGGGTGAGCATTAGTTTGGAGGGTTTTTTTTTTTTATTTCAATGAAACTATATACTTTTAGTTTTTATACATTTTACACTTTTAGGTTTGGATATGTTCATCTAGAACATTTTTAGTTCACAAAATCCTATTATCAATTAACACTGGCCAACTTTCAAATATTACTGGACCGAATACCTAAAATCGAGAAATATATAAGTAATATACTAGCTCTAGACCCGAAGGAGGGATGGGTCGTGGCCTGAGGTGTCCCAACCCTAAATCTGCCACTACACCTATTACCACTGCCTCCGCTGTCCATGGCCTGCCAATAGGGGTTAACAAAAACCACCCGAAAATGAGAAGGGGTATAGTGCTGCACTTTTTTGTTTTGTTAATTGTAGTGCTAACAATGACTGAATCTAATAAAAACATTTCATTTTTATGATTTTTAATTTAAATGAGTTAACCACAATTAACGAGAGAGAGGGAATGGAGGGGCACGATGGTCGTTAATAAAATTTGGGGAAATGAGGACCAACGTGTGTGTATGGGGAAGGGGTGCATTGATTGGGGAACCACCAAACAGAGACTACAAACACGAGAACCAGACAACAACAAAAAAAAACCCGCAAAGCTTAGAAACATACTACAACCTCACCACACCAAAAATTTATAAAAGCTCAGCCTAGGTTTCTTAAAACAGACCATAAAGTTTAGAAAGCATACCACAAGCTTTTTAAACCACACTACACGTTTTATAGTGCACCATCACAAGTTTATTAAAGCATACAACAAGTTTATAAAAGCATACTACAAGTTCTTGAAGTAGACCACAAGTCTCATGAAGCATATCACATGTTTCATAAAATATATCGCAAGTTTTTTAAAGCATACGACATGTTAATTAATGCACACCACAAGTTTCTAAAAGCATACCAGAAATCTCATAATGTTAGACTTATTTGTAATTTTTTAAAAGTTCAACTATCAAAATGTAATGAAAAAAGTTTTAAGGTACGAAAATGTAAATTTCCATCAATATTTTTAGGACTTATTTGTAAAAGTATTTTTTTATGAATCGATTCGTATATTATATCATCAAAAAGGAATGTACTGTAATTGGCCACATCTGTTTAACCATTCCACTGTAACCCAAGCGTGAACTTTTGGAATGTCATCTGCAAAAAATAAACCTAGTTCAGTTAATATCATAAAAACCACAAATCACAATTAAAAGTAATACAAAATAATCTTACGAGTTAACGTTTAGCGCAAAAACACTAAAGAAGTAGGGAGCTAAAACAGAAAATTGAAAGTGAGAAGGAGAGGTGTGAAGAGAAGAGGTTTACCGGGGCTGTCTTTTATAGGAAAATCATCAATGAAAACCGCATGGGGAGGGTGCGGTTTTCATCTGCCATGAAGGCCTACGTCTGTCAACCTGCATGGCAACATGTTTGATGTCGGAAAAATGGGGACGACACACAATCCCCCCGCCCCCCATGCGGTTTATGTGGCCAAAACCGCATGTTGAGGGTGCGGTTTGTTTTGGAGAAACAAAATCGCATCCCCAGCGTGCGATTTTGCTAGGTCAGACCAAGAACCGCACCTAGGCCATGCGGTTCTGTTAGGTCAGACACGAAACCGCATTGCAAAGATGCGGTTTTGGCCCAGAACCTTAAACCGCACGCCCACCGCACCTTGGGCGTGCGGTTTTAAAAAAAGGGTGCTATTTTTGTAATTTCTATGGGTTGAGTGCTATTTTTGTAATTTTTTTAAGAAAAGGTGCTATTTCTGAAAAAATCCCTAACAATTGACCCAAAATTATTAATAATGTGATTGTAAATAATTGATGAGTATATTGAAATCATTGTTGGTTGTTTACAAAATTATTATTGATGGGATCTCATCATTTTTCAACGTAAATCATATAACATTAACAATAACCAATAATTCAATCATTTAATAATTTTTTACAATTATTAACAATGTAACATGATGTTATCAACGTTCATACGAAGTAACATTAAGAAAACGAAGTCATTAGTATAACATTTAATAATGAATTAATTGTCATTAATAATGACATTAATGGTAGGTAGCGCCTAGACCTGGCAATCGGGTCGGGTTGGGAACTACGATTACGGGTCGGGTCATATTTGGATGGCTTATTTCGGGTCAAATATTGACCCAACCCATTCGGTTTCGGGTCGGGTTATGAGCGTTCTCAGAAACAATATCAAACATGCTTCATATTTTCTTAAAGAACACAAATTTTCACATATGCATGACAATAGTTTACCTAACACATGTCAATTAACATATTCTCAAATCCTCCCACGCTAATGAAATGAAATATAAATTGCGCAAATCATCAAAAAACAATCACAAGAGTAATACTACTACAAGAAACACATGATATTTGATTATCCTTAAACTCCAAACATGTAATTCAAATCATTGTGATTTTTTAAAACATCTCACCAATTTATGAGTGATTTTATCATATTTTGGGAGTAATATATTAAATGGAACGGGTCTAACGGGTTGACCCGCTAACCCACCCAACCCGACCCAAAAAATCACGGGTTATCGGGTTCGGGTCATTCGGATTTCGGGTTACAAAAGTTTCTAGTTTTCGGGCGGTTTCGGGTCGGGTTAACGGGTCGGGATGTAATTTGCCAGGTTTAGTGGCGCCCCTTTTGATTTCGTTGGATTAATTTTCCATTTTTATTTTATTAATAATGACATTAACTCTAATTTTTTTCCATTTCTGCTCTTTTCGGTAGTTAGCTAATGATTACATCTATCTATCTCTCTCCTCCTCCTATTGGCTGGTAAGGGTTTAAGATCCTCCTTAAGAAATAAGGC